CACACACACACACACACACACTCTGTATAATAATATGATTACTGCTTTTATACTTGCTTTATGTATTTACATTTATATTTACTTGCTTTCTGTACTATATGAATGAGATATATGTGTGTGTGTGTGTGAGTGAGATTACTGCTTTTATAATTACTTGTTTTATGTATTTACATTTGTATTTACTGTCTTTCTTTACTATTCTACACACACACACACACTTCCTTGCTTTCTTCCTTCCTTCCGTGGCTAATAAATTGAGTTGACAAAACATTGAGGTTCTAATTATTTTCAACTCAACCTGAAACTTTGGAAGCTTAATCCTCTTTTTTACAACCAGTGATGCAATTTGATGCAGACTCTCACTTTATTTATTGCTTTCTGACTCTTTTGCAGTTGATTTTGGAGTCAGCGCTCAGCTGGACCGAACAATTGGCAGGAGAAATACTTTCATTGGGACTCCTTATTGGATGGCCCCTGAAGTCATTGCTTGTGATGAAAACCCAGAATCGACATATGACTACCGAGTAAGTTTTCCCTTTGACCTCTCTCCTCCATTCCAAGCCGAGAGAAAAGAATCATACGCTTCTCATTAGGAGAAAAAAATAATTCCTCCAATTGAACTTTGCAAGGGTATCAATGCCAGTATTGAATAAAGGCTGTGAGCATTCATTTTTCCCAGATCAAAAATCTCCTGGGTGGGGAGGGGGGGGGTTGAAAAAAGGCACAGTACAGAAAGTTTTATGCAAACAGCTGTAGCCTTAAGGCATTTTTGTGTGTGTGCGCACGTCTGTCTGTCTGTCTGTCTGTCTGTCTGTCTGTCTGTCTGTCTGTCTGTCTATCTATCTATCTATCTATCTATCTATCTATCTATCTATCTATCTATCTATCTATCTATCTATCTATCTATCTATCTATCTATCTATCTAGGAGAATTGGCATTTTAAAAGCCTTCAGCAGAAACACTTACCTGCAGAAGAATGAAAGCCAGACCGATCTGTATTTGAAAAAAAAAAATATTGTCGGGCAATTTAAATCCTTTTTTAAAAAAAATTGGGGAAGACGGATGGAAAGTTTCTAGGTTACAAGACACTGCCTATGTTATGAAATATTCTGTGGATTGAATGCACCAGGCAGGAATATCGCTTTCCTAACATAGGCAAAAAAGTGAATAGAAGGTTTAGTGATTCTCACTTTCCAAATTCTCTTTCAGACATAGACAGGCACACATGGCTGAGCATATTCTGTTTTAAAAAAAAGGCCATTCTTCTTTCCTCTTTTTTCTCAAAATCAGCTGCTTTCCTTAGCACGGCCTGGCCTTCATTCATAAAAACTGCCTTTTATTCTCTTTGAAATCCAGCCTTCCTGGACTTTTGGACTGTTGTCATTTCTGTCTCATCACCTTATGTGCTTCATGCTGATTTTCCCCCTTTTCCCCTCTTTCTCCCCATGGCATCAGTCAAGATGGCAGGCCATCTCCTTTCTTTCATTTCTTCCTCCTTGACCGATACCAGCTGCCTTCTTTCTATGCTTTGCTCCAGTTTGGAGCTACATATTGATACCGTAAATCAGATATACAGTAGAGCCAAGGATGCTTCAAAAGTGGTCTGGAAGACAGGCTTCCAACTTTGCATGGGCTCAGCATCTCTCGGCTACTCATTAAAGGAGCTGTGTCCACTTTCAAGCATGCACAAAAACCCAGGAAAAGATGGGGCTGCTTTAATGAGTAGCAGAAGGGGGATGCATTTGTGTGAATCTAAAAACTCTTCTGAAATGTCTGCAAAGTGAGCATCTTCCTAAAATATAGGCATATTGCTAATAAAAACTATTTGGTGGGGAAGGGAGGGAAGAAGATACTAAAAGGTTTTCACTGTAAGTGTTCCCTGATTTGATGCCCTGCTGCTGTACTGGATTGCAGCAGGCATGACTACTGGCTAGCTAAGGATGTTCTACCATGCTGGTCACACTGATTATTAGCTAGGCTATGTTGTGCCTATGTAAATTGTATCCCAACCTCTGTGAAAATGCACAGATTAAACAAGTGGATCTGGTATGGTTTTCAAGCCTGTGTCCCTTTTTTTGCCTGAAATATATTGGCTATGGGCCAGTTCAGGATGAACGAAGCAGCTCACCCCCATGTAGATTAGTAGCTCAGGATATTCACCTGCTGTGCATATCCATGATTAACTAAACTATGGCTTCCTAAATTAATCTAGTCATCTAGCTTCACACAATACATTAAGCCCTAAACAAGCCCCACAACCACAATGCACTGGGCTAAAATGTGGTTCCATTCAGATGATTGTGAATATAGCCACTGTGTGAGGAAGTAGGGAATCCTGACTAGAAAGTCAAAGGAGGGTTGCTTGGGTTCACATGACAGGTTCAACAAAAGCAAGCCACATTTTAGTTCCCTGCGTGACTCCAACCGTTGGCTCTTACAAGGCAGCTGAGCTACTAATCTACATGGGGGTAAGCTGCTTCGTTCATCCTGAACTGGGCCATTAAAATTGCTGAATTGAAACTTGGCCTGTTTTCTTTGGAAATTCCCGCTAGGAAGTAATGGAACTTTTTTTGTCTTGCAGATATAGGCAAATATATTTGGCTGTGGCGGGAGGCCCAGGAAAGGGTCTGACATCCTTTTGATTATTGTTTTTCATTCATCAAAGCCTTTTTCTTTCTAGAGTGACTTGTGGTCATTAGGCATCACGGCGATAGAAATGGCGGAAGGGGCTCCCCGTAAGTTGGCAATATCTCACTGTCCATTGCGTGTTGGATGGGTGTATTATCAGCAGGCAGCTTCTGGCCATGTGACCACCTGAGCTTTAAACAGAATGACCGTTTCATTTTATTTGCACCAAAGGATGCTGTCCCCAACTGACCATGCTCTTGTTAAAAGAAAAAAAAATGGTCTGCTACTCAGTATATATTCATGTGTCCAATTCTCACCCCTTTTTGAAGCCATTGTGTGGCTTCTACACCACAAAATCTCCTCCTGCCCCCACACTGTGTTGCAGCTGCAAGAGTTGTGGTTTTCTGCATCAAATGATACAGACCGGTATGGAAATAACAAGGCTTCGACAGCTGGAGGAAATCATGCCTCATGAAAATTGCCAATGCATTTGTCTTGCTAAAAGAAAGAAGTGCAGGACGGATCAAGCAAGGGAGAAAGATGTTTCACACGTGCATGTTCAACTTTTCATGCTTGTAAGAGCAAGTGAAGACTTGCATACATAGATTGGCTGGCCCAGATCAAACTCCCGAGTTGGAATTATTAGTGTTGCATTACCAAATTGCAAAGGCGAGCTTTTCAGCTGAGCTTGGTTCACACTTTCAGCTTCTTACCGTCAAGGTCAGGCCAGTTTAGACATGCAAATCTTGGTGAGTAATGTGTTGCCTTGTCTGGCAAATAAAATGAATCTGTATCGGTGGGGAAAATAATATTCTGAAGATGTTGATTAGTGGATGCCCAGCCAATAGCGTCTCTTTCCTGTCCCTACCTCTTAGACGCCAGCACCTTCCCTGGGGTTCCAGCGACGATTGATCAAAGCTGGGTTGGGCACATGAGCACATAAGGGAGAGGAAAGAATACTGTTTATATCCTTTGGCTCTGTGATGGATAAAGCAGAAAAAAAGGGTCATTTTCTGGAATTCAAAGGATGGTCATAAGAGTGTTTATAATATGGGCTGAAAAGAAGATAAGGACTGCCCTGGGCGATCACAGGAGAGCACTGGGGCTGCCTGAACAGTCTGGTGTTGCTATAAACTGCAAGGGCCAGTGCTAACCCCATGTGGGGAATTTCTGTGCACATGAGTAGACCATCACAAAATAGTTTAGAAGGAGCTTTCAGACTGCTTTGCCAAGGGCTTTTTAGTGTCTCTCCATGCAGGATTAGTTGCAGTCATCAAGCCTAGAGAAGTTAAGCAATGGTGATGGGTGGTGGGGACATAAACCAGGTTCAAAGTGTTTTTTAACCTCTTATGTGTGTTCATGTGTTTTTATTGTAGCTTTGTGCGATATGCATCCCATGAGAGCTCTCTTTCTCATTCCACGGAACCCCCCTCCTAAACTGAAATCCAGGAAATGGTAAAGGATTTGATTTAAATGATAATCAATATGTAGTTGTCTCTCGTTATGGTTGGGAGGGTTTGTTTGGGCCCTCCACAGTTGCAATCTCATCACATCCTTCAGATTGAAGTCTTTCTAAACCAGAATGTGGTTGATTGGGGGCTTAGTATGTGAAGTGGGCTTAGAATGCTGCAGGAACCCTGCAAATTATGGTCTGTTAAATAAACAAAGCATAGTGTAACACAATGACTGACTCCAACCAGCATCTATGCTATGCCAACTCCTTATATTGACAGTTGCTTGTTGGTGAGGTACAGAACTTAGGAGATATTTTCTGGACAACTGTAGAAGCAGCTCCCGAGAAGAAGCCATTGAGTTGCTTTCTACATTGCAGATAGTCAGAGCTTTAGATGATGCTGGTGGCCAATAAGATTCCATCTGTTTCTATAAAGCTTCTGATTGTGGTTTGACTCCTGATCTGATCATGGAAACTGCCCTCCCAAGGCCTCTTGTTTTCTTGACTATTTGTCTTACTAGTGCTGTCTCACCTCTACACCACCAGCTTCAACATACAAAATAATCTACTTCTTCCATACCTTTGAATGAGTCTCCCTCCATTGCTATATTCTAAGCCATGTGTCGCCCTGCAAAGTGGCTTCATGAATCTTGTCAAGACCTTGGCAGGCTTCCACACCCTGCTAAGCCATTATGTGATTTGTTTGAAGTTTTTCTGCCTTAGCTTCCTGTGTGATCTGGAGCCAATTATAACCCATGGCTGGTGGTAGGGCAGTAAACCACAATTTGAAACCACTGTTGGTTGTTAGCTTACTGATTGCAACTGGAGCATCAATTGTTCTGTCCTGGCTTGTTTGTATTATGTTTTTGTGTTCTGCCCAAGTCTATGGCCAGTCTCTAGAACTACAAGACTAGAAATATCCCCCCTCCCAAAAAAGGAAGAAAATCAAAGTAAACAAGCCATGGTTGGTTTGCTCATCCATAAGACTGATTCTAGCTAATTTAACAAGACACAGTAAAACCAAACCTTGGCTTAGTGTGACATGGGAACACAACTATTTTGCTGGCACCTTAGAAGAAAAAACAAGAGGAGTTCTCAGTAAAATTAGGTTGTTGATGTCATTTTTCTCTGTTTTGTTTTTTAGGTCAAAAAAGTTTCTCAACTTTGTCGACAGTTGCTTGGTGAAAAATTACATGCATCGCCCTGTGACAGAGACCTTGCTCAAACATTCCTTCATAAGAGACATGCAAAACGAACGGCAAGTGCGTATCTTGCTGAAAGATCATCTAGACAGGACCAGGAAAAAAAAGGGAGAAAAAGGTGATTTCCATGTTATTGCCAGTATTGACTTAGAACAGTTGTTTGCCCGGAAGAACAAAGACTAAAAATTAGTTTGTACATCAAGTAATGACAAATGAAGGCCCCTCATAGATTGGGAGTATCTGCAGGGGAAGGGTCAAAGAAATGAACCATGATCAAAACCCTACCTCTTTGTGATGCACATGAAAAAGAGGTGGGATATTGAACATACGGTCTCAGTTGAGTTGCCCTACAGACTTTTTGACGTCCCTTTGTGGGTGCCTCTGCCATAAATGGTTAATCTATTCTATATGTCTATGTTAATCCATTTTGTATATCTCTGTGTTTAGTCTGACAATATAACCTATTTAGCACATCTGTGTGACAGATATGCTTGCAAACACCTTGGTTGGTTTTAGGTGTAGATCTGCACAATCTTGTATCTCCATAAACAATATGTGACAGACACCAGGTAAAAATGCACTCAGGGATAACATTTCCATCTAGTACAGTCGCTGCCTGACAAATCATTTCTCAAGGATAACATAGACAGCTAAGAATATTTGAAATTGCTTGCTGAAGTTATGATGCAGGATTTCCATGATAAAGAAACATAAGTGCTATCGTGCTCACCAGAGGTGACCAGGAATTACTTGGAATTAAGTTCAAGTGAATGATTGGCACATGTCATCCTTTCTCTGCATCTAGCAGAAAAAATTTGCTTTAATGGTAGTTTCAAGTGTATTAGTATCCCACAGACTTTCACAGTCCAAAATCCAATATTTGATTCTTTACTATCAGGGAGAAATATACTTAAATATACATAATGTTTTAGGCCAATTCAAGGGACACAAAAATGAACAAGCATTTGAGATCTGATTTCTAGATTAGACAAAAATGGGAAATATTAAAAAAAAATTAAGCAAAAGTAAGATTTTTAACAATCCCTTAATTGTTCTGCAGACATTGCTTATAAATCTTTTCAGTCTGGAATACAAACTTTTCAGCTGAATCAGTTACATAAGTATGAATGGCCTTAGAAGAAAGCTGAACCTTTAAAGGAGATGTTTGGAGATCTAAGATGTCTGAATGAAGATCTGGGTAGACTTTCGTGAAAGGGGAGCAGTCTGACAGCTTCACTCCTTTCCTCCATGTGTGCGTTCTCTCTCTCTCTCTCTCTCTCACACCACACACACACACACACACACACACACTAACATATGTAATAGATTTTCTATACTGTATGGTGCCTGCAGTAATAATGCTTCTTTGTATAACTTTGCTTCCCACTACTCTCTTTTTAGATGAAACAGAATATGAGTACAGTGGAAGTGAGGAAGAAGGGGATGAGTTGAATGAAGATGAAGGCGAACCAAGGTCTCATTTTGCATTTGCAGATCAAATCAGAACAGTTCCATGATGTTCTCTTAAGGGGCCAAAGTCTTCCAACCTCATTTGATAAATTGTTAGAGCCACTTTTGATCCCTTTCTCGTGAGCTCCTTCCAAGCAGGATAGAATGACATGGTTGATGTCGATTATTTTATTCCTTCCTATGCTGGACTACGCATTTACACAATGCTGGCTTGGGACAGAGAGATAGCGATAGTGTTGTGGTTACCATGTTTGGAACTAACTGAGGCTCTTCTGGGGGAGAGAGAGCCTGTTATCAAGAACCTGATCCCCCAATTCTTTGTGTTGCTGCTGGAGCTGGCCTAGAAGAGATGGGGAATTGAATACTGCAGGCAGGAAGGAATTGTCTTCTTCATGGCTAGCCCATAGCCATAAGCAGTGGCTGTGAGGAGGATAGGGCCCATTGAAGGAGGGGCCTGCCCTAAAGGTTCTCTTGACTAAGACAAGTCCTCACACACACACACAAATATATCCCACCCACCACTAAGATTGTATGGCTTGTTCAGTCTATTACAATCCTGCCCATAAGAAACTTTTACCTTGAGTCTCCCCAGGTAGAAAAGTACTTCTTCCAACTGTAATTCTAAGAACCATAATAATATGGCCAGCTCCCAAAAGCAGCAGCCCCAGTATCCTGGCAGTCAAAGGTAGGGGTTGTTGGTCTTAATATTTTTCTTGTCTTCAGAATTCAGAGGCGGTTTAATTTGGGCCTTTTAGATGTTGGTCACGGAGAAATCTATCTATGTGGTCGCTAAGAGTCAACACCAACTTCATGGCACATAATCAATCAGATGTTGGAGGCCTTCCAATTCCCAGCAGCCCTAGCCTGCCCAGCCATCATTCGAGGAGGCTGGGAGCTATAGTGCAGCAACATCTGGAAGGCCACATGTTGCCCTCCTTTTTAGATGCCAAAACATCTGCTGTTGTAGATGAAAAGGAAAGCATGCTTTGGACTTCTTTTGACTTTGTCAGGGCAGACATAGTCCTGTGGGCCAACTGTTAAACAATGATCAACAGAGAAGCAACTAAATAGACCTCCACTATGCCCACCCCAGAAGCAATGGAAAAAAATTGGGATTGTGAGAAGGCAGCCCCACCCTACCATTGAGTAGAGGGAAGAATTAGAGATCAACGATAACAGTTTTGGAGTAGAGAACTGTCTATGCCACATGGACTGTGTCTTTTAAGTTAGCCTGTTACTTTCACATTTACTAGAAGATGCTTTCTAGTTGCCAGGGTTGAAATCCATGTCAGTTTATCTTAAGCTGGGTGATAGATCTCTGTAGGGCTACCTGGTCTGGTCTGCAAAAATTTCAGATGCTTATATGGCAGTGAAAGGTTAGAGTCTGGGTAGATCAGATAGCCCTAGCTGCAAATTTGTTCTACAAGAAAAGGTGGGAAATTAAATATTGTAGGCCACAGTGTGTGTGGGTTAGATGTGGAGGGAGGGAACAAGCTGGCTAGTAAGGAGCCATGAATTCCACGTGTTGCTAATCTTTAAAAAGCAATAAAATAAAAACTGTGTAGGGCATCTACTCGAACCACTGAGGTTTTTAGGAAATTCAGTTTCACTATGCTGCATTTTCCTAAGGCTTTTATGTCCTTCCCCCCACCCCCACCCCCACAAACCACCCAGAACCTCAGCAGATGGGTTTCCATACAAATTCAAAAATATAGCTGAATCCTCTTTTGTTCCCTTTCCAGTGTTTGCTGTTGAATATAAAGTGTGAACAGATGCTAAAATTGGTTTGGGGAAGGCAGCGGTGAAGTGAGGTCTCTAGTGAGCAGATAATCAGCTTTAGCTGGGATTCTAAAAAGTTGCTAAAACAGAGGCTGGCTGGGAAGCCGAACCAGAGAGATTCTGCAGAGATTTTCTGGCATGTTCTAATGCTGCAACTTTGGATGGGCAGACATTTCTCCATGGCCTACTTTGGGTTGGCTGGGCTATCTTAATACTAGAGTTCGTCAAACAGGTTTTTCCCCTCCCCTCTCATTTTTGCATCTGTGTTTTTTAAACTAAGCTCCATTGTGAATCTCCCTGGTGAATCCACCCTGCGCCGCGAGTTCCTCAGACTTCAGCAGGAGAACAAAGGCCGTTCAGATCCTCCGCGCCCGCAGCCGCTGCAGCAGCCGCAACAGCAACAGAAGCACCAGGAGAACTACAAAAGGCAGCTTTCGGAAGAGAGGCAGAAGCGCATCGTGGAACAAAAGCTGCAGAGGAAGAAGTTGGAGGATGTAGGAACTGGATTTTTATTTTTGGGGGTGTGGTGGTTTGGTTCAGTTATATTCGGCCGGCATCATCATGCTGCCTGCTTGACGTTTCCTTTTTTCAATCAAATGGAAGAGGGATCTGGGCTGGCCTCCTTTTGCCATGTGGATTCTTTTCAGCTGGGATTTTGGAGAGCAAGTTGGGGTGCTCTCGCAAAACCACTGCCTCCTTCACAAATGGCTGCTCGGTAGAGGTGACCAATCCTCCACTGCTTGTTTATCTGCCAAGTTCTCTCTCACCATCTTTTCTAACCCCCCCAGAATGTTCTCTGCTCCTGGCTTATCTTGGTCTGTTTGGGCAGGCAGGGAGTTGCACTTTCAAGCCAAGGGTTAGGCTGCAGCCATCCATCAATTTTATTTTCTAAGAATGCCTGTGGGTCCTTTTGGGGGCCCAGAGGCAGTCTTGGGGTGAGGGGAGAAGATGCTTGAGGCCAGTGCTTTAATTTGCAGCCACCAGCTTGGCCTTTAAGGGAACCGGTTTGGTGTCATGGTTGAGGCATGGGGCTAGAAACCAGGAGACGGTGAGTTCTAGTCCTGCCTTAGGCACAAAGCCAGCTGGGTGACCTTGGGCCAGTCCCTTTCTCACAGCCCTAGGAAGGAGGCAAGGGCAAACCATTTCTGAAATCTTACCAAGAAAATGGTAGAGACTAGCCCAGGCAGTGGCCAGGAGTCAAGACTGACTCGAAGGAACCAAAAAAAAAAAAAGCCCAAAGAAGTTTGGCCGTTAATGATTAGTTTTGAAGAATCTTTAAAAAGAATTTTAAAAGCCTTGGTTTTTACAAGGTTTGCAGATTTTTACTATGGCCATTGCCTTTATCTGACTGGCGCAGTTAGGGAAGTTTTACTCTTGTGGGTCAGTGCCATCAGGGCACACTGACAGGTAACTGGACCTTAATGTCCGTCTTCTTCCTGGCAAGCCTGAACTGAATCCCGTTGAACAGACGCACAAGAATCCAGGAACTTTAGATGAATAATCTATTGCAGAAAAGATAAGCTAGTAGGAAAGAATTCCAGCAACAGCTGAGTACCAAAATGCCAGTTCTATTTAAAATCAACAGTATTCAAAATTCTTCCATCTTTCTCTCTCTCTCCCCCCCGCCCCCCCATAAAGAGCTGGAAGTGATTCCCTCTTGAGTAAGAGATACAGTTTCCATCTGTTCCTCGTTTTAGCAAGGGCCAGATCTAGTTGTTTACTTTCAACCACGCGAGAACTAACATTCACAGCTAGAGTGCAAGGGACAACTTGATTAATAGTCTAAGGTCTTCAGATATTTGGAATATTGTCTTCAGTTCTTCTCACTTCATTACAAAAAGGATATTGGGAGCCCAGGAAGGAAGAGAAATGGGTAGCTCGAATGATCAAAGTGATGGTGCAGTTATGCTACATGGAAACATATAATTTAGAGGCTATTTACTTTGGGGAAAAAGAGATGGACAAAGAGCACAATAGAGGTATTTAAAATTAGCTTTGGTGTGGAGAGAGTGGGTAAGGACATATTTTTCTTCACTTGGGAGCTTGCTCAGGGCAATTTCATATCAATTTATTTGTCAATTGAACAATAGCCAAATGCAGCAAGAAGAAAATAAGAGGAAAAGAACCCCAGTTCTTGCTTTGGGAGGTTAACGGTTTCTAGCAAGCTAGAATCCCACAGTGTCTGAACTGTGTTGCACAATGCTACCCATGACATGAATAATTACTCCTTTTATGAGAAGCCTCTGAATGAAGATGAAATGAAAGCAAATGTTATTTCCTGGCATGTGTTCAGCATCAGAAAAAGGAAGAGCTTCAGAAGCATCTGGACCTTGAAAGGAGATACCCGGAGATCAAGGTGGCACAAGGCAAAGTCGAGAAGGATAAAAGCAGCAGACAAAATCAGGAGGATGCGTGGCGCAAAGGGGATGGAGTCCAAAAACCAGAAATGCAACAGGTGAGGATATGCTTTGGCAGAAGAGACATCTTTGGTTTTTTCAGCCATAGACTGGCTAAACATTTACCAAACTCTACCTTCTTTAGGGAGAGAAAGAGACCTTCCTTTTCGCTACACATGGCCTAGTTCCATGGATTGTGTAGGGTGTTTTTTTTCACATGCTAGTGCTCTGCTTTGCACAACAGACTGTTAGCACTGCACATGCTTTGAACACGATTTGGAGGAGGTGCTTCAGAAGGTGCAGAAATGCAAACGCAGAAGCACTTCCAAGCCATTGAATGAATTTCATTAAAGCAGCTGTGTTGTTCTTCCAGCTCACGTGAAGGTCTGAAGAAAAAAAGGCTGCGTTGCTTTGAAGAGGTGCTATGCTTCTCTTCCCCACATGTTTTGAATCATCTCTTCTGAATCATTTTCAAAACACAAACAGCCCTACTAATAATAGCTTAACGCAATGTGTGAACTCAGCTGTGATATAATATATGAAACAGAAAGCAGTTGCCTTAAATGCATGAATCTAGTGCATTCTTTTATCTTTGGGGGGGGGGGAATGGGGAGGGGAGAAGGTTTCCCTAAGCTGGACTCTCACATGTAGCATTCATTGTGCATATTGCTGTGCACTTGATGGGAAGAACTTTTGTGCACGAGTCTACCACGAGAAGAGGGAAATATGCATAAAATAGGGAAGAATAGCCATTGCAAGGTTTGCAGAAAGCAATAAAAATAGGATCAAAAGAACGGAAAGAAGAGAAAACAAGCAGAGAAACTTTTCCTAGATTGATGTGGTCTTAACCATTCTTCCAAAAGCTAAAGTCTTTCAAAGATGCTTTGTGGAAGATAGGAAGGGGGAACACCGTTCTGTGGCTGCTTGGAATCCTTAGAGGATTTCACACTCCCGGGTGTTTTTTGCCCTGCCCGTGGAGCAACATCATTGAAAAAGGCTGAGGATATCTATTCCCAAGGTCTGTACCCACTTTTCCAGGGTGATCCTCTGTGGTTCCAGATATCTGAAATGGGGTCTGCAGTTGCTGATTCTCAGGTGAAAGACGTGGTTGACCTAGGCCAACTCTGCCAGTCTTGCAGGGGTTCTTCTCCGGATTACGGTGTTCTTGCTTCTTTCCCATTCTAGAGAAAAGCAGAAGAAGTGGCTCATGGGAAGAAGTTTCATCGAACTCTTCCCAAAGATCAAACACAACTCCTTTCTCTCCAGCATGATCACAAGCAGAAGAATAAGGAGCTTTCTAAGATCCTTCATATTCCAGGAGGCCTTTCGTCAAACTGTGCGAGCAAAGAGGTAAAGCCCAACTTGCTAACAACAAACCCTTGTCTATATTGGATTTGGCTAGTTGCTGTATAAAAGTATTTTTTTAAAGGAAAAAAGCAAGGGTTAGAAGGAAAAAGAAGCAACAAGTGGCTTTCTTGATGCTCTCTGAGCTTTGTTGTTAGCAACATGTTCTTGTAAAATCTCACATGGCTTGAAACCATTTGTTTCCGTCTCCAGCTTGCAAATAAATGGATTGTTGTTTGGGCTGAATAGAAATCTAATTGAGGATTTTGTTTATTTTTTCTAAGAGTGCTTTATAAAGGAAAAAGAATGATGATAAAAGACTCTTTCATAGATGGGTACACAGTCTCTAAAGACATTTTTCAAAATCACATGGCCATCTCTAGAGGTAGCAGGACAAACCAAATGATAACAGTCTTCGGAGGACGCAGAGCAGATTTTGGAGGGAGGGGGATGGAATTGCATCTTAGATTTAGCTTGGTTCTCAAAAACGTGGAAAACCTGTATACAGTTATGGAGTTTTCTCCCTCTTAAGTTCTCTTACAATAAGAGGCTCGGGACTCTTCCTGTGTCCTTAACACCAGGCAAACAATCAAGCCGAAAACAATAACCTAATCAAGGAATGACCAAGGAGAAAACCACACCTCCAACATGGGCTTGGCAAACTACTGTATATAAACAGGGAGCAAACCCCACACTCACTAGCACTGATGATGTTACCTAGATAGGTAATGAATGTCTGCAAGCAAACCACCCAGCTCAGAGAGCACCAAGGACTCCACATGCAACCTTTTCCTGGGCTGAGGACCACATTCCCCAAAGTTGTGGGTGGGGCCATGAAACTTGATTTGAATCCCATTCCATGTAACTGAAATTAAGCATAGCTAATGGGATTATTCTCCAATCATCTATTTAATAGTAGCAATAGTAATGTTTCCTTTGAGTTGGGCTTGATTCCTGATTACTTCATGAACATGTCTGTGAAGGTTTCTTGGCAATAAAGGTGAGCAAAATGTTCCTTAACAGAATAAGCTGTTTATAGCGGTCCAAGAATGTTCTGACCTCTGAGCAGCCTGTTTTGAGGTCAGAACATTCCATGATGGTCTATCCCTGGTGTTTGACCATTTCCCCCTTCTGTTATATTAAAAGCTATCCTTTAATAACTGCTTTTGGATGTCTATGGAGGCTGAGTCAATAAGCTTCAGATGTCTTATGTGAACCTTGGAACTCAGCTGATCCATTCCATCTTAAGTTTCTGTATCCTTCATCCCTTTCTACTTGTTCTGATGGTCTCTGTTCCCATCCATTTCATCAGTGCCAGAGTCTATGAGGTTGAATATAAAGGATTTAGGAAAAGAGTGGTTGGGAAGTCTCACTCTTCCTAGGTTTTAGACGATGGAACATACAGTTCTCTTTTATCGCTTCAGTTTTCTCCTTTTTCAAATAGAAGAACAAGAACAAGAACTCTGGTGCCTGAAGGGGGGAAACACATTGCAAAATGTCAGTTCCAATATTCATTTGCATCTCTGGCTTGTATTCCATAAATGACCTCTTTGTAGGGGGAATAAAATGCATTGTAAAATATAGTCCAGGCCACATTCTTGTTAAATTTTAATCTGGATGTACTATTGTGGATTTCTGACATTAGCAGCTGCAGGCAGTGAGTCTCTTGGAAGTGTGTGACAGTCACAGGAAGCAAATTGGGTCTGACAGTTTCTCTGGAAAGTGACGGTTCTGCCTTGCGTTTCTTATGCCACGTCGCTGCTGTGATCTACTAGAATGCCCTGTCTCTTTCATTACGCTGGTCTTGTACAGTAGCATGGCTGAGAAGATTTAGCAGAAGGAAGGACTTGTATCCCTGCTCCTCAAGCAGCTGTTATTGAACTAGTCTCTTGCTCTTTTTATACTTACTGTGCTGGTTGGGTTGTTGTAATTCAGATAGATAGGTAGGTAGGTAGGTAGGTAGGTAGGTAGGTAGGGTCACCGGGTGATTTACCGGGATTATGACACTGATTCCAACCATTTCCCTAAATTGATTGAATGAGTGAATGCTGCCAAGTCGATATCGATTCTTAGCAACCATATAGATAGACTTTCTCCAGGATGCTGGCTGGGGAATTCTGGGAGTTGAAGTCCACACATCTTCAAGTGGCCAAGGCTGATAAACCCTGATATATGTGCGTATCAAATAAGTGGGTTCTGCATTATTGAGAGGATTACTTTTTTTTTTTTCCTGAGCATCCACGGCAGATTAATTTGAAAAATCTACCTGAAGTGCTTGTCACTAAGAGACTGAAACCTGCAGAGGCATTTCTCTTTCAGCTTAAGTCATGCTGCAAAAGGTTTGACTGTGCTATCAATAAAAACTGTAAATAAATTGGTTTTGCCATAAGCCAAAAAAGCAGGGTCAAGCTAACTATTTAAATTAAAGCCCCAAAGAACAGGGCTTTCATGAACATCACGTATGAATTGGTTTGGGTCATAGGTTATGGCCAAAGCTGAAATCTGATAAGAGGAATACTTGAATGTCAAAACACCGAACAGGGCTGGGTATTAAAACAATCTGTCATATACACAAGAAGGAAAATAGCATAGACTCTCCAATATAAAGGCACAAGAAGGAACCTTTTTAGTTATGTATCTCTTGCTGCTGAACAGAAGAGATTCAATTTTGTTGATTTAAGTTTTTTTTTTTTAAAGAAAGAGCAAAGGGCTGGCAAGAAATACATGAAGATATCTGTATCTGATCTCGGCGGTAACAGAACAAGATAAATTGGGATGAATCTACATGCTCCCTACAAGAACGATACTCAGTCTGGCTGTTGGTTTCTTTGCAGGCAGAAAAGAAGCATAAGAAAAGTGATGGTGTCCAGCCTGACCTCAGCCGGGCAGCGGTCCTTGAGCAGGAGGCCACCCCGCACGGAAGACTGGGGTCCGGCAGTAGTTCCAGTCCGTGCACACCAGCTTTACAACGAGCAGTGGTGGTTCAGGTTGGACATTCTCTCAATTTTTACCTGGCAGGGGAGATAGCTTGGTCATGCTGACCATTCCTTGGGTCAGAAAGGTCTATGCAATAATGGAGAGCCACAGAGACGACTTTGGAGAAACTGTGCAGAGACAGTTGCAAAACTGTGTTTTAAGCTCAGGAAATGAAGGAGATAATAGGATGAAATTCAGACTGGCTCTGCCCTAACTCCTTGGAGCAGGGTTTCTCAAGCTCAGCGACTTGAAGATGTGTGGACTTCAGCTCCCAGAATTCCCCAGCCAGCATGTTGGCTGGGGAATTCTGGGAGTTGAAGTCGACATATCTTCAAGTTGCTGAGGTTGAGAAACCCGGGTTTACAGTATGCAGAGGATTTTTTTTTTCACTCTCTTTTAGGACTGATCTACCCTTAAAACCACTAGCCTCGTTCCAAATACTTTCAGAATCTGATCTGCTTTAATTCCTCTGGCAATTTAAAGTGTGTTGTTATTTCTTACAATTGGAGAAGGACAAAGAGAATTTTATTTGCCGCCCTTCCTCAACAGCTTAAGTCGGCTCCATTCTAATAGGGCAATCCCTTTTTTTAATCCAAGCTTTTTGGGCTCCTAAGAAGTAACACCAACTATTTGCTTCAAGATTATGTCATTCTGCCATTTCCACCTGCTTTGGTATTTGTCAGATCGGTTAATTGCTTATCTTCCTCACCCCACCTCCAGGTTCACATCTGTTCTCTTTTTTTGACCCTCTCCCAGTGCACAGACCAACCCAAGTACAGCAGCAACAGGCTGGATTGGACTGAGACATTGCAGGGCTTATCAATACCATATTGCTGTTCCTCCCAAACGAGAAAGATGCTTCTGTGCAACATAAAGCCTGCTCAGATAGTTATTTGCAGTGACATGAATACTTGTTTTTATGGATTGATTTGGGGCTGTTACGCTTGCAAGGATCACAAAAGCTCCTGGACAGGTGGTTGTGTTCCACTGGAAACGTTCGGTGGTGCATAATTTGTGCAACTTTGTGTAGGCATGCTGTGCTTCATGGAGCATGGAGGAGAGCGTTCTGTGGCAGGTTCAGCCCTTGTTGAAAGCAGGTGGAGACAATGTGTTCCACTCCTGGCCCAGGCAGAGAAATCTTGGTTGCTCCTTAAATCTGCAAGCAGCAGTTCAAGCTCACGAAATGACATTTCCTGGAGATGCCATTGCTAATCCTAATTGCCATTTTGGAGTCTCCTGTCTCCCAGGAAGATGGCTGATTTTAGCTTGAGGAGCATTTGCAGCTTCATGTTAGTCTCTGTGTTGCAGCCAACTGTTTCAGCTTTCCGGTCTCTTTTGTTCCCCTCCACCCTTCTCCATTGTACTGCAACTGCCAGTGGCATGGGGATAGAGAAATTGATGATGTGATATAATATGACATCCTCTTTTTTTTTATTTGCAAAGGTAGAAGGAAGGAATTTGGAGCTGTATCCATGCATTTGCCAAAATGTTCTGCCTTCTGCCTTGATTTTTTTCCCTCCATTGGTGAGCAGTTTGGGATGGACAATGTGACCTCAGATAGGTCACAACTGCCCTTTATTCTGCCTAGTTTTGAAATACATATTTGCCTAGATCCACTTGAATATTGTGGATGCTCAGCAGCCCTCACCCCACCCCATCCCACTTCTCTTAAAATAGGAGCAGGAAGATTCTTTGAGGAGGCTGGTTCATAGGATCCAATCTTATTGCACTTCTGCACGTGTTGAACACTTTTTTTTTTACATATTTCTGCATCTTTGAGTTCACAATGGTGCTGTTGTATTTATTTATTGCTACTCATTAGGTTGGTTATGTCTGCTTTATATACTTCATTCGAATGATGTTTTTATTGCACTTTAATGTATCCTATATTAGTTTATGGCTAATATATGCCTGGCTATGCATTCGTGACTAGTGCTTTAAAATATTTTTATAGAACGATGATTATTAATATTACAAGTCATGAATGGAAGCACCATTCCATCTCCCTGCAACGATTTCACTGCAGTGATACGTTCCCAGATACCAGAGGGTTGGGGGGAGAATGGAACATTTCTCACTGCAACAGCACAGTGCCCTCGCTGTTGCTGAATGGCCCAAATCGTGGTCTCATTTCACTGTCTGCAAATGGAGCTATGAGATGGGCCAACCCGCTTCAACTCAGATGTGGCTTTGTAGTTGGCAAAATAGGCTTTCTGCAGGATGTTCCAGGAGCGGTTCCGCTCCTTCATGTTGATCAAGGTAGATCTCGGCAAGGCTGCTTTTCAGGCACAAAACACCTCATTTGTTCTATTCCTTCCCGTCTTCCCATCCAGACATGTTTTCAGCATTTTGCTGAATCAGGCTCCAAGAAAATGACAGGCAGGCAAGAGCCTTTTGATGACAGGTTGGCTCCAGCCTGCCTTCTTATACGGGGGTTAGCTGCATTGGAGAACAGCTTGACTTTACCAGCCAGCCCAGATTAAATGAATACTGTCATTAGCTGCAATCATACAGGACAAAAAAGGAGAACACAAGGCTTTTTATATATCATGTTCTTAGGTGCTGCACCTGCTCAAAACCTCTTCCTCCCCACGCCCAAAAAGCTAAAATCTTTGCCAAGCCTTTGGATAACATAGCCAGATCTCTTGCAGGATGAAAAAAAAAAAAAAAGGAAGAGGCAGAAACAGAAGGTGATAGAAATAGCCCAACTTTCTGCTACTTTGACGTCTTCTAGATATGGACATGAACTCCCATGAGTTTTCAGCAAGTGCCATGCCAGTCGGGAGACACGAAAATTGATATCCACATATCTAAGAGGATGTCCAGGTTGGGAAAACCTGCCTTAGCATTGTGAGAGGTAGAGATTAGGTTTCACCTTCCACCCATCATTTTTTCTAGCCATGAGGATCTTTAAAAATCCATGGGTTACAGAAATAAGACTTTTGGTGTTGAGATGCACAAACTCTTCCATAGCCAAAATTGTGGCATTCATCGCTTTTCTCCAATAGGCCAGTGCAGCCAAATAAGTTTTTTGCTTGTTTGTTTGTTTCAGAAGAGAAATACAATAAACAATATGGTGACAGGAAAAAAAAGGAAAAGGAAAACAGTGTGGTAAACTACTTAAGGGGGAAAAGCAGAGAAAAAAAGAATTTTTTTTTTTAAAAAGTAGTCATTAAGCAAAAGTAAAAAAAAATCTATACTATATCTAATTCTAAAAAGAAAGAAAAACATTCAGAGGAGAAGAAAAAAAGTTAAGCTATTGAAATTACATAATGTTTTTTCGATTTCATTATTCTAATCCACTTTTCAATAGTTAAACCTAAGTGTCTCATTATCAGTGTACCAAGTTTTCATTCCGTTTTCTAAAATTAAACCTAGTTTGAAATATTATGTAGAGCAGGGAACATGGGGGTACCGAAGGACGTATCTCTGAATGTCATGACACCCAAAAGCACCACATGGGCTTCCTCTAACAAGTAACATTACAGATTGTTTCATGATTTTTTTTTTCATTCTTTCTAAATTGTTTGAGATGTGCAGTCTTTTTCAAGGTTGTCCTTTAGGGACGGGTGGGGGTGTGAACATTAATGCTGCTGGGTAAATATCCTTTGGATTTTCATTGAAGTGAAATGTTCACAGATGGGGGAAAACAAGCCCAGAAGAGCTTTTATTTGTGATTGATTGATTGATTGATTGATTGATTGACTGATTGATTGATTGATTGTTGAGAATATACCAGTATGTACCGGCATGCTCTAAAGAGCCATGTGAAATAAAGGGGTCTTATTTCTTTTATTTCATTTTTCATTTGAAAGAGCAGGCTTGCAGCGCAGGAAATAAAAGTATGTTACGACCCTAAATCAGTTCTGATTCAGAGGAGAGAAATGTCTGCTAGTGAATAAAGAATACCCCTTCTGAGAGCGCAGGATCCTTCTCACCAGGCAAGATCTGATGGAGAGGCCAAATGAAACAGTTTAGCTGCAGGCTTTTCTCCCATAATTCTGCTTCCCATATATATATATGATGTGCAGAATCCCAGTGAATCAAGTTCACTGCATTTGTGGCAAGCAGTGTTGGGAGAAGACATCAATCTACAGTAGGGTGCCTAGCAAGACTTGTAGTCTTCTTGGGCATAAGACAGATGGACAACTTTTTTCCATCTGTTCTATTACTCCTGCCCTCTTCTTCCTTCTCGTGATGATGATTAACAGCAGCCTTGGAACGCCACAGAGACCATACCAGTGATGTGCTGCTGCCACCAACGAGTTCATGGCCGAAAGTTTTGGTACTGAATCGGATGGGTGGGTGTTTCCCCTCAAAATAGGGGTGTTAAGCCTAGTAGGAGTTTCTTTCATTAAAAACTAAAATCGCAGGCTGCTGAAAAATAACGACTAGTTGCTGAAGTTTGGTTGTGTTTTGGAAAGACTCTAGGGCTGTGAATATGGAGCCAGGGGATCTCCAACAGGCTACCCACCCCTGTCCTAGGGTTCTGGTTAGCATTGCTGTAGTACTATTTCTAGTCATTCCTGCCCTGGCACTTTGGGATGTGGGCTGGCATATCTGTCACCTCCTTGAGCTTTAGTTGAGCTTCCCTGAATGGTACAGAAAGACGAGATGAACCTTGTTGGTCCTTTCAAATTCACAGCTCCACAATTCTGTGATTCAGTCTGCCTGCAGTACCCATATGGTGAACTGGGGATGCAACTGGGTTTTCCAGATCCAAATTAACTGGTGGAATTCATTACCACAATACAAGGTGATGGCTGCTAACATAGATGGTTCTTAAAGAGAGTGGACAGATCTCCAGGTTAGGGGCAGCATGTCTCCAAATACCACTGTCAGCCCTAGGCCAGAGTAGGAAACCAAAGTCATGCAGGTTAATACTACTTGCATTACAGAGCTATTGTAACAGAATCTTGCAAGTCTAAATGTGCTTCCTCCTTCCCTCCCTTTATCTTCATGAGAACAAGGGAGGGTCTTGTCTGAGACACTTTCTCAGGTAACGGTTCTGGCCTGGAATTGGATTTATTTTATCTGACCATTGATTTGGTAGTTGATCTTCCTCCTGTTCCTCAAGGTTATTCCTTCTTCCCATTACAGTGGGTCAGAACCAAAGAAAAGGGGTTTAATGGCTGTGTTTCTCTCTCACACATGTCCATGATATTGGGTGGGTTCATATCTAACGGGAACAGTGGTGGGAAAGAGTTATCTCCTACTTGTGAGCACCCTAGAGGCAACTGGTAGGTTGGGTGCTGTGAGAAATAAAATGCTAGTGTGGGAGATTGTGGGGAGGTTGGGAAAGGAATGGAAAAGAATAGACATTTTTTTAAAAATTAAGAGATGGCTTATCCCATTAACAGCAGCTTAGCCCAGGTGGCAAGAAAGCTGTGGAGAAACCATTTGAATCATTCACAGGAATTGAATGAATTCCTTAGAAATAGAGTGGGAAATTCCTTGTAGTTTCTAAGACTCTATTTACCAAAGATTAGCCTTAAAGATACCCATATCCTTCTTGACCTTGCTCAGCTGTGTGGGTTTGAGAGCTAACTAAGATGGGCCTTGGCCTGATCCACAGGGCTATTCTTATGTTACGAAATTGATGAGCCTGTAGTACCATGTAAAAGCTTAAGATTCCCAGCGTGGTATAAAGCCTCAGAGTAAAATTAATGGAGCAGATTGGTTGTGAAGCCATGGATGTGATTGGGTCGACTTCCTCTATGTGATATTATCAGACAGTCCTAAAAACTGGGCCACTAGTAATTCTTCCAGCAAATTCCCTGCTCCGTGAGTCTCTTGGCCACCCCAGCAGCTGTGCTTCTGGCTGCTGCCAGTTTGATTTACCAAAATAGCCTCCTTTATGGCAGTTTGTATCTGGTGGCTATTCATTTATAACCCACAGTGTGCCACAAACAGAGTTTCTTAAGTACGGCCTTTCAGAAAAAACAGAATAACAGTCATCATCACCAGAAACCTTATCTGTGCTTCGTTTGCTTAAAGAATGAAAACCTCGGAACCAGTCGGGACATGTATCACAGCAGTTCGTTGTCTGATGTTGCTGTCACACCCCTGAGTCCCAGCCAGGATGATGTTTTTTGGAGTCTGTCTCCGACCGAAGAGCAACCGCCAAAGGTAATGGAAGAAATGGGGCATTACATGGATTTATGGAAGAAAGAGGCGATATAAAGCAAGGTTATGTTATAGGATGTCCGTGCCTACCACCAACTATCACAAATTTTCTGGGACCATCACATTTTTCAAAGTGTGGTCCCGTGGCAAGATTCTACCCCATAATAATCCTGGATGGCCCTGACAGCTGTAATCAATAAACCTGCTTTAAACAATTTCATGTTGGGCCTCCCAGACTCCATGGTTTCTTTTTTATTTTCATTATTTTTTCCCCTCTTGAAGGCTTTTTCTGGGCAAGCTTCATTTGATGCCCATTTTATCAAATGGCTGGGAGAATTCTGGGAATCAAAGTCCACACATCTTAAAGTTGCTGAGGGTGAGAAACACTGCTGTAGAAGATGCAGGTAGTCCCTGGGTTAAGAATGCCCGGATTACGGATGATCCATAGTTAAGAACGAAGCCTATTGTAGCAAAATTCTAGTTAAATACACAATGGATCAAGTTCATTACACAATACTACTTATACAGCATTATACAATTTTGTAATACATACAAATTTGACTTAAGGACAGACCTTGGGAATGGAACTCGTTCTTAAACTGGGGACTACCTGTTCTACAAAAACTGCATATGTAATCAGTGCTGACTTGTCTGGGCTTTCAATTTTGAAGGTTCCTCAAAGGACAACATCAACGTTTTACACCAGGGATCAGTTTGGGCATCAGAGTATCCCTTCAAGGTAGGTGCAGTTCCTTCTCATACTAGTATACATACATACAGTTTGTGGCTCTCAGACGAGTGTAGCTGTCAATTCAACTTCAAAAGTCCTTTGTAAACCAACAGTTCAGAATTCTGACAAGAGAGACATCTCTTTGGAAGCCTGTAGCATGAGGGTGAGAAGAGAGGGATGGGGGAACCAGAGAGAAAGAAGTGGGGGGAAAAAAGGAAGAAAAGTAAAAAAAAAAAAGATTCCAGAGAAGGGTAACTTCTTGAACCCTGCCAAGAAGACGGCATGGTTGCAATCCCCAGGAACTGAGCTCAACTCATGGGCACCTTTACTTTTTAGCTAGGCGGGGGGAAGGAGGTGAATCTATTCTGGTTCAAATTTTGTTCCAGGTCAGGGAAGAATTTGGGGGTTGTAAAGTTCACCTAGCATTTGAGACGAACATTATAAGCCTTTAAGAGTAGTATTTCCAAACCTCAGTGACATCTACATACAGTACTATTGTATATTTTTTATGAAAATGCTGTTATTGTGGTTTTAGGCATATTACTCTGGTATTGATTACCTCCCTGAAGTATACTGTGGTCTTGAATGAGTTTTTAGAATGGGTTGTTAAGAGCATGGCACACCGTGTATAGTGGTTGAATGTAATCTCTTCCTCCTCCTCCTTCCCCTTCTTGTTCTCTTTTTCCTCCTCCTCCTTCCTCTTCTTATTCTTCTGCTTCTCCTCCTGCTCTCACTACCTCCTCCCTTTTGTTCTTGTTCTCCTCCTTCACTTCCATCACCTTTTCCTCCTCCTCGTTTTTGTTCTTGTTCCATTTCTTCTCCTTCTCCTTCACCTTCACCACTTTCTCTTCCTTGTTTTCATTCTCTTCCTCTTCCTCCTCCTCCACCTCCTCCTCCTCCTCTTATCTTTACTCTTTACAGCACACATCAGCCATCCCTGGGGGATCCCAAAGCAAAATCCAGTAACAGCTACTGCAGTTCCAGTGGCAACAAGCAAAAGGACCTCATGTCCCATCAGAACAGCCAATTGATCTCGGGTAATCTTTGGGTTCCTCTTTAGACTATCTGTGCAGTCCAACCAGCATTCAGGGTTTCCATTTCCAGGGAGACAGAATGAGGGAAAGTAAGCTCTGGAATAGAAAATTATTCTATTGAGTATATTTGTTTGCTAATTGCTTTTCTTGTGCTAGGCCCATTTTACATGGGTGTGCATGAACATTTGCACTCTAGATGGTTTCAATAACTGCATGGCAAACTGAAATCTGTAGAGGGGTTGTTTGTGTTTGCAAGGAATTAACTGGTTGTGATTTTTTTCCTTCAGCCTTGGCTTTTTATTTTATCAAACAGGATGTGTACATTTGTCAGTCAGAAGAGCTTGTGAGGTGTCTTAACAACAGGGAGAGTACTTTCATACGTTTTACTGCTGTTCATCTGGCAGAGTTCCTCTGTGTTTGGATGGAAATGAGTCAGTGGGTGGAGGACATAGAATGTGAGATTGGTGAGATCCAGGGTTCTCCTGGATTCTGAAATCAACTGCGTGACCTCAGACAGTCCCACCTCTCGCCCTAACCCAGGGCTTTAGCTTATCTTAGATAAGCTAAATTTTCTCAGACTATTCTCTTTTAAAACTTTCCCGTGTTTCCGCTATAAAAAGTCCTTGAAGCAGCATAGAAGTGTTGTAAAATAGCAAAAACCATCTCAAATCCAACTGTACTAAAATAGAGCAGCAGTACCATTTTATAAAGCACAACCACTCAGGATGATAGAATCTGTTGAAGCCTGTTGGTGTTCTTGACCAGTTCAAGTACCACAAATGCACGAGCCACAAAATGTACCTGCTTGGAAGTTAAGAACGGCTGAATTGTTTTGCTTTGGACAATTGCTTCAAACCAGTTCCCAGGGCAGTCTGTAGATATCTTAAGATGCAGGGCTCTTATTTAAACCATTAAGTAATATGTATGCATCAGTAAATATTTCTCTTTACAACATCCAGGATCATCCAGAATGGACAACAGACCGCACCAATCCTATAAGAAACCTGAAAAAACATCCCGTTCAGGCCATATTTCAGTAAGTTTCCCCCCCGCTATACCTTGTAATTCTCCCACAGTTTTCCCTACTTTATCATTTTCTTCTACTCTCATGATTTCTCTTGGTCATCCTCTTTTGCCTCCTTTTAGTCTCATTAATGTTCTTTTTTTCTTTTTATTGTTTTTACTCTGACCCCTAATGGATGTCTTTAAAAATATATCTTTAACATCTTTAAAAATGCATCTAAGAGGTGCTACCAAACCACTTCCATATTGCTGCTGAGAAAACTACATGAGGATGTCCATAAGGTCAACTGAAGTCAACCTGGGCCTGAGGGAGTCTTTATCCTTTATCCCCATCTGTTAATTAATCACATAAGTTTCCTATCTGTTTACCTATCTTTTACCAAGACCCAGAGGACTTCTGTTTCCGTTTTTTGTTTTGTGTTTTGGATGAGGTACCTACTGGTTAAGTGTTTTGAATATTCAGAGATTCAGAAGGTGGGGTTTCAGTGTTCCATTCGGCAGAACAAGTTAGTTTTATTTTCCTTCCCCTTCTATTCAAGAAGAACGATGGAGAAGCCATAAAGTTGGAGTATTCCACATGCTTAAAGTAAGCATCTTGACGAGGATTAGTGGCCCATTTAGACAAGATGTCAGCTCTGAGCATAAGCACCTGTTTTGAAGTCATAACAATGGATCATCAAGTTGATTAGGAGCTGCTCTCCAGGGATTCAGAAGTCTCTTCTGGACTTCTCTTAGAAATTCCAGCAATTGCACAAGCAATTTTCTGAAAGTACCATATGTATGATAGTCTGTTTAGGAGCTGTAGTTTTTCCCCAGAAGAAGATTCCCTGTCCTGAAGTGACTGAAAGAGGGTTTAATTTAAATAGAAAGCTGTGCCATTGGCTTATCCTGAATTAGTCCATGATCTAGATACTGGCAAGGAGCAAAGGCCCCTTTTGAAGGCTTCCCTGAGAATTCCATGGATTGAACTAAATCAGGGTACTTTAGGTGAAGTGACTACCTACCTGTTTGTTTAAAAATGGGCCTCCCTGAGTTAGGGGTGTGTTGTTGTCAAATATTTATTGTGTTTTTATTTATGGTGGCTTATATTCCTAGTAATCCATTTTGGGAGGATCTTTTATCCTGAAGGGCAAGATATAAATAATTGTAATAAATCATAAATAAAGGAGAGGCCAGAAGAGATAGGAGGGAGGTAAAAGTAAAGACTTCCTTAAGGCTAGCTCAACTCCTAATAATTTCATGGTCATGCCAAAGAAGTTTTCTTGCCAACATTGCAATATTTTATTTTATTTTTGTTTTATTTTTTCTAAAATATGTAAATATTCATAAATAAAAAATATCTATTTAAATGAAGGATTGTAAAAAAGGAAATGATTATAAAATGAACAATTATTTTAAATAGATGCATTCATAAATATATATTTAATAAATGCGTGTTTTGATTGCCTTCTTCTGGGATCTTTTCTCAACTTCCCGCCCTAGCCTACCACCCCCGACTCCCCTCTTGGGTTTCCTAGTGATCTCCCAGTCAGGAATAAACCAGTCTGGCCTGCTTAGCTTTTTCAAGATCAGGGACGCCTCTCTGCAGGGGACTACAGCAGAGAGAATTTTTGTCTTCCTCTCTGTGTTACTCTCCTCTACAATGAATACAGAGAGGGGACCTGGCTGGGAGAAAAGCATTGTGGGTAGCAGGACTAAAAGGATGGTCCTCCTCCCCTTTCCCTGGGATTCCATTGACTTTGAAAATTAACCTCCCTGCTCTGCATTTTGCATCCTGAATGTGCTGTTCCCTGAAAAGCTTCTGGTTCCCAAAATCAGAGGTTGCCCTCCAAATGTTTTCAGCTGCAACTACCCCCCTCCCCTCGCCATTAGTGATATTGGCTGGAGATGATTGGAGCCAAAGGCATCAGATTGCCTGACCTTGCAGCAGAGAAACCTTGGAAATGCCTTGCTGTGGGAAAAAAAGTCTCCCCAGATATGGTGTCCTCTAGATGTTCTACCATCCACTCCCCTGGATCCCATGTTGGGGAAGGTTGCTGAGAAATAACTTGAAGGGGATATTGTCAGATGGCTCAGATCAGGTGGTACTTTGTGTCAAGATCTTGTATGTGCTGAAGCTACAAATCAGGTTCTTCTCATTGTTAGAGCCCAGCTTTATGGAACAAGGAGAAAGATGGCAGTCACTTGCTCCGGAAGTCTTTAGAATATTCCTCCTCCAGTGACGAAATCTACAGCAGTGATGAGGATGATGGGGGTGACAGACACATAAGGTTGGCTCTCCCAGTCTTCAGCCTTCAGCCACAGATGACTGACTTAAAAGTTAATAGAATATGAATAGCTTGGTTTACTTCTTGTTGCCCAGGGAGGATACATTTTAGTTGCTCCATATCAGCAATTAAGCAACAGCTGGAAGCACACAAAGGTTTGGCTTCCCACCCACCCCTTACTGGGGTGGGATGTTAATGGAGCCTGGCATGTATTGGGGGGACAGATCGGTAAGATGGTTTTCCCAGCGGCCTTGACTTGGTTCTTTTAATGATTGATTAATCAGTCAGTTGATTGATTGATTGATTGATTGATTATGCTTATCTTTTGTTCACCACCCAGAGTTCGGCTGGTAGATGGGTGACTATATCAATTTGTTAAATACATACATACGTGTATGCATTTCTGCCCAAGTGGAAGATTGAAGATAGATCCTTCCAGCTGCAAAAAAGATCTTATAAAATAGCTGCCTCCTATTCTGCAAGTATTGCACTGCAACTCCTATAATTCCCATTGGGAAGCTTGTGTATGTTACAGGAGTTGGAGTCCAAGGTTTTTGGAAGTAGGGGGAAAGCACCTCTAAGGGCTTCTTAGGCCATTAATGTTGCTAAAGTGCCATCTTTTACTCTGTTGATTTGCTTCTTTGTGTGAATTATGACACGATATCCCCTCCTGCTGGCTCTTGTTATCAATTTAAAGTAGAGACGGGAAGGCTGAGAGAAGCCACCATTGTTGTAGGACTGGTGGGTCTTGGCATGGGCTGCGTCAAAGATCTGGATGAATTTTAACAAAAAGACCTTCGAGGATCTGTGGGTTCTAGTAAAGAAGAACAAGGGACACTCTCAACTGTCCATGGACAATGTCCAGGAGAAGCAGGACTGGGTTCCTGCTTATCAGTTGTCCCTCTGAGCACATGTGTAGAGCAAACGGTATTGTTACATTTCTCTACTCTGTTTTCTCAGTGGCCTCCCAACAGCTTCCATCACTAAAATATAATACTTAACTTACCCTTAAAATTCCATGGTAGAAATATGAGTAAACACTAGAATTATATTTTGTTATGTGCATTTTATTATTTCTGAGTTCCTGCATAGATTTTTTTTTTAAAAAAAATAGTAGAATAACTTCGGTTCAGGGAGAAGGCGATGGCTTTAGGGTCCTGTGATCTCCATTCGAGATGTGGCCACGTGTTCTTTGACCCCATTGTATTGCAGGCCTTGAAAGCAGATTTCACACATATGCTGGGTGGAATCCATCCAAGATTAGATATGATGCATATTCTCTCTTTTAATTCCAAGTAGAGAGTACTGAATTTCAAATGGAGTAGCACACATTTGATATGTCTTTCAATCAGCACAGCTGTAGAACCTGACCCTTCCTTTTTTAATAGCTGCCACCGTGCTGAATGCAGATGAATGTACTCTTTCAAAGGTGCGTGCATAACCGTTTGCAAGCCGCACATCCATTCTTTGCTTGAGGAAAGGAGGCCCCGTGTGATCAAAAAGCGATAGGACAGTAAAGCATGCCAGCCCTTCTGAGAAAAGCTCAATGCTGGTTGGGGGTGGGGGGAAGAAAGATATGCTTTGCTTAGAAAAGTTCCAAATTTAAATCCTGGGGATTTCTAGTTAAAAGGATGTTGAGAATTAAATGCTAAATCTATGCCTGTCCTGTAGAGTTATCAGACCTGGGGTGCGAAATTCTAAATAACCACTAGCTGGCAGCAGAGAGATACAGAAAACCACTTATCTTTTGCTCCCACGTAGTGGTCATCTGGAATTTTGAAGCCTGAATCTGATAGCCCTACTTCCATGTTTGAAGTTCTGGAAAGCCAGTATCAGTCTATATAATGATATCAGCTTCTGCCCTTCCGATGTTTTGGACTACAAATATTTATATATTTATTTATATATCAAATTTGGCACCGCCCATCTCATTGAAAAGCAACTCTGGGCGGTTTACAAAGGAGATAAAATCAATTAAAATACAATATAAAACAATTTAAAAAAAATAAATTCCAAGAATGGTGGAATTGGCAAATAACTTAGGAGTGACATCAGGGCGCCACCCCCCCCCAGGGTTGATTGAAACTCTTATCGTCCCATGCAAGCTGACAGAGCCAGGTCTTAAGTCCTTTCTGGAAAACCAGGAGGGTAGAGGCCCACCTCTGGTGGGAGAATATTCCATAGGACGGAGGCAACAGCAGAGAAGGCTCTCCTCCTGGACCACGCCAGCTGACATTCTCTTGCTGATGGGGTCCGCAACATGCCCTCTCTGCCTAACTGGGTGGGACGGGTTGATGTAATGGGGGTGAGTTGGTCCCCCAGGTAACCTGGTCCCATGCCATGTAGGGCTTTAAAGGTGATAACCAACACCTTGAATTGAACCCAGAAGCAAACTGGCACCCAATGCAGGTCCCACACCAAAGGTGTTACATGTGCCATCCTAGGGGCACCCAAGATTGCTCACATGGCTGCATTTTGAACCAGCTGTAGCTTCTGGATACTCTTCAAGGGTAGCCCCATGTACAGCGCATTGCAATAGTCTAACCAAGAGATGACAGTTCCTATCATTTCTGAAATTGTTGACCCTGCTAGTTGGACTGTTGGGTGTTGTGGTTGATAACATCTGGCAGGCTTCTTGGAAAAGGTTGAACAGGCTTGTCTGCTTTCTGATGTAAATGTGAAATGACATTAATGGGTTTGGTGTTGGGTGCAGCTGTTCCTCAATGTTTTTATTTTTAATGCGTGTGTGGTTTTCCTTTTGCGTTTTTCTTGGAGGGTTTAAAAAATGTATTTATTTTCCTCTCCTTCTCCTGCACTAATTGGAATTTGTTGCTAGGCAACCGCTCAGCAACGGAGTGACCGCGTTCTCAAGGGCAAGGGTGGCTGACGGGATCGAACTGAATTCTCCGTGCGTTGTAACGGATCGCAAGGTAATTCTTTGCAACGGTTGCAAAGGAGCTCCGGTTTATGTGTAAAAATGGAGAAGCCGTGTTCCCTTCTGCCAAGTCTGTAACTTAGCTCGACCCTTTCGCAAGCACCTGCACCCGCTTTTACTGTAGAAATTACTCTGTGTTGTGAAATTCCCTTTTCTAATCTTTGGGCTCTGAGAGAGAAGGAAGAGAACTGTCAGGACAGTTAACAGCCAACTTAACAGCCTCTGAATTGTTCCTTTTGGATTTATGGTCTCACCAGAATCTGCAGCTTCTCTTTCCATCTGCTTGAAAGATACAGAAAGGAAAAGAAGTCTTATAAAAGGACAAGAATATCTATCCATACTTTTTAGATTCAATTCCCTAGGTACTCACACTTTGGAACGAGCACACTAAATCTCCACGTTAGCCAGATCTTATCCCTTTTGCTTATGGGAATTAGAATAATCAGATTAAGAGGAAGGGAATTATGAAAGGTTATGAAGTCAGATTAAACGCTGGTGAGATCAGGGCTTCATTTAAACTTCTTTAGCCCATTTAAAACATCCCAAATTTAAAGAAAAACTCCTTAGAACATTTTTGTTGTATATTGCTACGGCAGCTCTAATATGCACGCATAAGGAATAGTAGATGTTCCTGTTTTATCCACTATCCTTCTCTTTGTTTTCTGAAGTCAACCCGGTAAACTTTGCATAATTGTGATGATTCTTATAGAAGCGAATGTGTGTAGCTCAGGGTTGAACTGTGGAGTCGTTGGGGTTCTCTGAGCTTGGCTGTTTTCTTGCAAACTTTTCGTTACCTGGCTAGGTAACATCTTCAGTGCTAGAATTAATTTCATTCTAGCACTGAAGATGTTAC